CGGGGGCGCCGGGGGCGGCGGCGGCGGCGGGGGCGGCGGCGGCGGGGGTGGCGGCGGCGGCGCGGGAGGCGGCGGGGGCGGCATGCAGCCCGGCAGCGCCGCCGTGACCTCGGGCGCCTACCGAGGGGACCCGTCCTCCGTCAAGATGGTCCAGAGCGACTTCATGCAGGGGGCCATGGCCGCCAGCAACGGCGGCCATATGCTAAGCCACGCGCACCAGTGGGTCACAGCCCTGCCCCACGCCGCCGCCGCCGCCGCCGCCGCCGCCGCCGCCGCCGTGGAGGCGAGCTCGCCGTGGTCCGGCAGCGCCGTGGGCATGGCCGGCAGCCCCCAGCAGCCGCCGCAGCCGCCGCCGCCGCCGCCGCCGCAGGGCCCCGACGTGAAGGGCGGCTCCGGACGCGACGATCTGCACGCGGGCACAGCGCTGCACCACCGCGGGCCGCCACACCTCGGGCCCCCGCCGCCGCCCCCGCACCAGGGCCACCCGGGGGGCTGGGGGGCCGCCGCCGCCGCAGCCGCAGCCGCCGCCGCCGCCGCCGCCGCCGCACACCTCCCGTCCATGGCCGGAGGCCAGCAGCCGCCGCCTCAGAGTCTGCTCTACTCGCAGCCCGGGGGCTTCACGGTGAACGGCATGCTGAGCGCGCCCCCGGGTCCGGGCGGCGGCGGCGGCGGCGCGGGCGGCGGCGCCCAGAGCCTGGTGCACCCGGGGCTGGTGCGCGGGGACACGCCCGAGCTGGCCGAGCACCACCACCACCACCACCACCACGCGCACCCGCATCCGCCTCACCCGCACCATGCGCAGGGGCCTCCGCACCACGGCGGCGGCGGCGCGGGGCCCGGACTCAACAGCCACGACCCGCACTCGGACGAGGACACGCCGACGTCGGACGACCTGGAGCAGTTCGCCAAGCAGTTCAAGCAGAGGCGCATCAAACTCGGCTTCACGCAGGCCGACGTGGGGCTGGCGCTGGGCACGCTGTATGGCAACGTGTTCTCGCAGACCACCATCTGCCGCTTCGAGGCCCTGCAGCTGAGCTTCAAGAACATGTGCAAGCTCAAGCCGCTGCTGAACAAGTGGCTGGAGGAGGCGGACTCGAGCACCGGCAGCCCCACAAGCATCGACAAGATCGCGGCGCAGGGCCGCAAGCGCAAGAAGCGGACCTCCATCGAGGTGAGCGTCAAGGGCGCGCTCGAGAGCCACTTCCTCAAGTGCCCCAAGCCCTCCGCGCAGGAGATCACCAACCTGGCCGACAGCCTGCAGCTCGAGAAGGAGGTGGTGCGGGTCTGGTTCTGCAACCGGCGCCAAAAGGAGAAGCGCATGACGCCGCCCGGGATCCAACAGCAGACGCCCGACGACGTCTACTCGCAGGTGGGCACCGTGAGCGCCGACACGCCGCCGCCGCACCACGGACTGCAGACGAGCGTGCAGTGAAGGCAAGGGGCGCAGCGCAAAGAGGGCCGCCGCCGCCGCCTCCGCAGCCGCTGTCAGCACCGCCACCAACCCCCGCCGCCGCCGCCGCCGCCGCCGCCGCCGCCGCTGCAGCCGCCGCAGCGCCAACCCCGCACTGGGGCCGCACCGGGCCCGAGCCGGTCCGCCGCCCTCCCCTCCGCCCAAAGACAAACATGCCCGCCTTTGGAGGAAAAAGAGAGAGAGAGAGACGGACCAAGGAGACATTTCTCAAGTCCAAGGAAGGAGGGGCAAAACAAAAGCGTAATAAATACCCAGACTGTTTTATATACATATATATAACAAACAAAACCGGAAGAGAAAAAGGAGGCGATCATGAGATCTCGTTTATACTGTGGTGGTGTTTCCTTTTTGTTTTTCTTTTTCTTTTTAAAGAAGGGTGAAGATGCCTAGCGCACCAAAACTGCACTCGTGAGGTTTTTTTCCCACCCTAGGAAGTCCTACACGGCAACGGTGGACAGCACCTAGCACCTGCCTCGTCCTCTCCTCTTAAAAAAAAAGAAAAAAAGGCAAAAAAAAAAGCACCCCTCTCTCCTTTTCACTCACTCCCCCCTCCAAAGGGCTGCCTAAAGTGATCTACCGAAACTTTCTTTCCTGGGAGCGACCTGAAAGAAAGCAGAGGCACCGGGTTTAATCAGGGGTTGACTCTGTGCTCGGGGCCCTGTTTTTCTTGGCCATGTTAAAGTCATTTGGGGACAAATTGACTATGAAATGGGAAGGAGAAAACAAAGAACAGTCTTCAGAAAAAAAGGAAAGGAAATATTCACAGCTTCTGAAATTAACAGACTGAATAGCAAAGCCAAAAAGAAAAAGTATCCTCAAAGTAACCTTGGAAATAAAGCATCACGAAAGAGCGAGGGATGGGCAAGGGAGAAGGGGATGTCCTCCGAGGAGTGGGAGAGGCCCGGCCGAGTCCTGGGCAGGGCGGGCGGACTGGGCGCGGAGCGAGGCCCCGCCACCAACCCCGGCTTTAACGGCGGTCACTCGGGTGGATGAGGCCTAAAGATTCCACCGCTAATATTTTTTTTATTAATATTTTTTATTTTTTATTTCTGGACTGACTCAGATAAAGAGATTTAGAAGGACTGAGCACCAGCTGATGCACTTCTCTGGACTTCTCTCCTCAATCCGTTGCCAACTTTGATTGAATGGGTGCTGTGGATGTGATTATATAATACTGCCATTTCCAAGCAGTGTTTTTGGTAGGTTTTAATAAACAGACTTTTCAAAAGACGGCAATATAGAATTGTTAGATCCGTTGTTGATCTAAAAATATTTGCTTTATATTTTCATTAAATGACTTCTTTTAATATTTTATTCAGAATACTTATGAACTGCTGCAAAACGGTAATTTATTTTTCCCCAGATCTTGTATTACGTGTTTTTTTCAGACGAGCACAAATCAAAATGAAATGAAAATATGGACAGTTGCTAGGTAGTAAGGGTATCTTTTGATGTGATCATTTGATTGTAATTTAATTTGAGTAGTGATTCCGTAAGAGCTGATCGAGAAAATAAATTTGTTAGAATGAAATAGTCTGTGTCTGATGCATAAACACTATGTGGGAAGAAAAGAGTTCTTTAGAAAATATTTTTTTACTAATGCAAATCCTTAAGTGATAGCACTTAGCACCACCTAAGGTATATTTGGAAATAGAGAGTAAAGGACAGACATGACAGAAACCGCTAGTACTTTAACATAGTTGTCACTCCTTGTTAATCCATAAATCTCACAACATTTTTCTCTCCCTTGGTTTCATTGGGTGTTTTTAGGTGAGATTGTCTAAAGACTAGTCCCTTTCTTGGAGATGTCCTTTATCATCTTTCCCAGAAGATTGGACTACAGCACCAGTAAAAATGTGCCAACTGGTTATTAATGGTTAATACAGAGCTCTTCCCCCACCCAAGTTTAGCCTCTCTTTTCCCTCCCGTCCCCCCAACCATACTGCTAAGTTTCTTTCCTCTTTTTCTGAAGACTAATAGTTCTAAAGAAAAGCTTACAAGTCTATAAAATATTTTTATATTAATTACTTCCCATTAATAACTATATGCAATTCAGTTTAAATTATTAAGCTGTATTGGTTTTTTGTTTTGTTTTGTTTGTTTTTCTTGTACTGGAAGAATGTAGTTCTAAAATCCTGACTATGGGCCACACTGCATTACCCTCAGTGTGATTACCAGCTCAGACTTAAGATTCCACGTTTCTATGTTCCGGTCTTTCCCCAGTATGATTCTGTATCTTCTTTACTGGTGCTGGGGCTTTGAGCTTTTTTTGATCCCTCTTTAGCTACACCCTGCAGAGCGGTCACATTTATCAAGTTAATGTATCAATATTTACAGTGTGGGAAAATGAAAGTATAATGCCTCAGGTTGTGAGTACTATAGACTCAAAAGGCTCTGCTCAGTTGAGTCCCTTCGTATTGTACTTAAAAAAAGTATTTGGGAGTGATAAAGCAATGATTTTATGGATTAATTTCCTCTTAATCTCATTTGGCTGTCACTTTCTGCCTTCTCTCATCTTCCTCTCTCTTCCTCTGATATCGATGCAGGGGTTAAAAAACCCGGAAAACTGTGAGAGCAACAAGGAACAGTCATTTCTTCCAGACAGACCCTGTGTCACTTTCATAAATCAAGCCCAGCCAGATGGCCATGTATTGGGTTGCATTATTTTAAACACCAAATCGTACTAAAAATCACAATCATTTTGATTTGTGAAATCTGAAAAAGGCCATATTTATTAAACAGAGAGAAGGGAAAAAATGAAAACAAGAAACCACAATTTACTTTTCTTTGCCTTCTTGTTTCCTATTTCTCTTGCTATTATAATCTCTCTGCCCAGCAAATTTACAACCTGAGTGGGGGTCGGGGGTGGGGACAAACTTCATCTTTTTTTGAGGGGCTATGGGGGCAAGCAAAGAAGGCCTTATGAGAAAGCTGAGGATTGGGTGTGGTGGTTTTTATATGGTGGATACTACTGGCATGTGAGATGAAATCCTATTTTCCCTACAGGAATGGTAGTGGTTGATTAGAGAGAGAATTGGTCTATTTAAAATTTTAGGAGGTATTTGCTTACTTGATTTGGCTGACAACAAAAGAACTAACATTAGATTTCACACTGTTTTCTATTAAAAAGCAACCTTTGCTGATTACTTTGGAAGGAGCCCAGATTTAAGGGTAGCAGAGTAACTTTTCACTGGAGAAGATGAGAAAGAAAGCCCATTTTATTTCATCATTTTGCATGTCTAAAAGTGAGCTCATGCTTGCACTCCATATTTTTTTTTAAATCAACCCTTTGAATGTATTTACAAAATGAAATTCATGGTTGAAAAACAAAAGAGGGCAGCTATAACTGAGAGGTTTTGTGCTAAGGCTTATATTGTTACACATGTAAATAATGAAAATATTGTTATATATCACCAGATCTTTTTAATGAATTTGGTCATTGTGTTCCTTTGCAGCGCAAGTGTCTTGTGCTTCGTAAAGTGCCCATTTGTTTCCTCCATTTCAATCCACCCCCTCCTCCCCTTCCAACCCAAAGGAAAGTGACAAAGTTCTGTTCCATCAATCTGGCTAATCCGGAGCTAGGCCCATTTATAGTTTGCAGTGTCCTGTGGCTCCTGATCAGTTGTCCAAGCCTCTGTCACCTCATTCACCCAACCATCTTCCCCTGCAAGTCTGGGCGATAAATCATTCAAGGTGTATTTAAAATAGTCACTTTTCTGTTGTTGCTCTGCCTTTTTTTTTTTTTAACTACTTAGCCAAGGACTACTTCTTTGTTCCAAAATAGAACTGTTCATTATTGATCTTAGAGATTCCCTCTGCTTCCCTGTAGCCTCCAGTGTTTGCTTATTACCATGCTCATAATCTGTTTTGTATGAATGGTTTTCAACATTCAGAGAATAATTGGTTCTAATATTAAATGCAGTATATACAATTGATAGTTTTATCAATAAGTGTAATATTTTAAATAATTTTAACAATTAAATTTGTTTTTTAAATTATATATTTGTAAAGTATTTATCCTGTTGGAAGCAACAATATATTGTTGTATTTATTCGTTTATTTTTGTAATAAATGATCAACCTCTTCAAGCTAAATCAAAAATGACACTTTTATATATTTATACAAAATGCATTTTAAGATATGGGCATATTTGCACCAATTTGTATGTAAATAGAGTAAGAGCCATCAATAACTTGTAGCTTTCAGAACTAAATTGAAGGAAGAAACATTCTCTCCACATGGAGTTTAGTTTGCCCAAGTTCCAGGGTAATTAATCAAACTCTAAAATGGATGCAACAAGTATTGGCACTGGATGCAGACTTGAAATTAATTATTTAGGAGGTGGACCTGGTTTTTTTCAAGGCAGAAGGATAGAAATGAAAGAATTCTCTTCTTTCATGAGTTGCACGTGACTGACTGGACTGCTTAGGACAGATGCTGTGTATCAGTGATAAAACCTAATACCTGGCTGTGCTCAGACATCTATGCTGGGGGAGAGGTGTTGAGAGTTAAGACTTCGAGGCTATCAGTGACTTGGAAGCAAGGTGATTAGAAAAAAAAGAGTTGTGTTATATTTGTTTTTCAAAAATAGTTCTTGAAATGGCTGTGAGTGAAGAACCTCTCTCCGCTAGTCCCATTATTGACAGCATGAGCAATCAGTACAGGTGTTGCTGTTGCTGATGTCGGTAAGAGTGAGGCGCCTCAGAAGTGTGGGGACCGCCTCTCCAGCTCTCCGGGTTCTGTAGGTCCCTTGGTCATCTCAGTTCCTCTGGGCGGCTGTTCTGAGGGCCTGAAGGTCACCCACGTGACCTCCTGACTGCTGGAGCCCCACCGTGGGCTTGATCTTGATTTCAGTAAGGAAATCAGTGGGCTCTGGGTTTGCCTGAACTTTCCAGTCGAGGAAAGGAAATAGTGCGGAGGCTGGAAGACCTGGGTGGGGGTGGGGGAGCGGAGATAGCAGG